TGTGGTTGAAGCAGAGCAGTGCATTGATTGACAGAGTGCCTCATGCCCCAGTCAGGGAGGAAACAGGAGAATGAGGCACATGGCCAATTCAGAACACGAAGACAGGAGAATTTGCTTTTCCACTGATAACACTAATGAAAAACTAAGACTGCAGACTGAAAATGACTTGCTGAAAGTCCCTCATTGTTTTGTTCAGGAAGCGGAGAGACACAAGGGAAGCTTGTCTAGGGAACCACAGGAGGCCAACAACAAAACTTTTGCTAGAATTCACATCTGAGTAACAAGCAGAGGCCTTTGGCTTAAACCACCACTGCAGAAAAATCAAAAGAAATAAAAAATAATCAACCCTCTGCAAAGGTGTCACTGCACACACGGCCTTTCATCTGGGTACATTTGTTTGTGCTGATTGCACTCTGCTGTGTGTACAACATATTAAACAAAGCTGACTGAAGTCTGCACATGCTAGATGAAAGCTGATGTGGAAAGGGGCTTGATGACAGGTAACATCAACCATGGCTCTCACGTACCTCTAAAATTAATAAGCAGACATACAACACTTTGGGGAATGATTATTTTTAATTCCATATTATAACCAGATGGGGTGGAAGACAAATGATAGGAAAATGAAGAAAGAAGATGTCTTAGTCTGTTTTCTGTTGCTATAATGGAATGTCAAAGGTTGGGTAATTTACAAAGAATAAAGGTTCATTTTACCCTTGGCTCTAGAGGCCCAGATGTCCAGGAGCATGGTGCTGGCAGCTGGTGAGGGCTTTCTTGTTTCACTGGAACATTGGCTGAGGGCAGAGTAGAGTGGTGAGACAGAGCAGGAGTGCTAGCTTTGGTCTCCTTCTCTTCTGTCATGGAGGCCCACCACGATGTCCTCATTCAATCCTCTTTATCCCAAAGTCCCCTCCAAATGGCCTCAGCATGTGAATTGAGGGATTAACTTTCCCACATATGAACTGCCAAGGACACCCCCCAGACAAAGCAGGAGGAAGAAGACAGCACCCAGCATATGGCAGGAGAGTGAGCAGGGGGTCAAGGACAGGGGCCCTGAAATCCCTCACCTCCCAGCCCTGTTTGCTCACTTGAAAAGGAGGTGGAATGATTGTATGGATTCCACAGAGTATTTGGGAAGGTTAAATTAGCTAATATATATGAAGTTAGCAGTTTGTAGGGGACTAATAAGCATACCTGTTTTTATCACTATGCTACTTTGGGGGAAATGTCCATTCTCTTGACTTTAAAAGTGGTTAAAAATGGCTACAAGTTACCAAGAATGCTGCCACTACCAGCGTCCAACATGTGGATCTCAAGGCATTGCTCTGACTTCCATGGTCCACATTCTGTGTTTTCTGAGATTCACACACCAGAGCCCTGATTGCAAACCAGGGTTAGCAACGCTGGCTGATTTCTTCAGTGGATAGATGATAGGTAGGTAGGTAGATAATAGATTATAGATTATCGATCGCAGATGATAGACATGTAGACAGATGAAGGATAATAGATGAAAGACGACAGATGATATATAATAGATGATAGATAATAGATACATATGTGAAAGATAATAGATATATTGATAGATGATTGATTGATAGATGATAGGGAGAAAGAAGGAGAGAGAGAAAAGAACGACAGAGCTTTGTTCACACTTAGAGGGGGGAATTGCTGATAGATCCTTTCAGGGAGATAAGGCCGCGTGCGCTGGCGTGTCAGCCCCTGTGGGAGTCGTGGCAGTGCCAGAGTTGTGGGTGTTAAAGGTGCCCAGGACATGTGAGACCAGGCACTAAAACCTGCTGGGCCAGCTGAGTGGCACTCGGTCTGGAGGCGGACCCCGTCAGTTCTGGGGGTGGGGACTGGTGCTGCACAGTGTCTTCTCCCTCCTGCTTTGTGCAGCCAGTTTTGGAAGTGAAGACTCCCAGCCTGCGGTTTCCAGCTCTTGGCCCAGGACAGGAGGAGGAAGCCTCTCTGAGCACCGCAGGAGTCTCCCTCCATGCATCCTCCTCCTCACCACTGACCCCTCTGCAGGGACAGCAGGCTCCTCCCAACTGTGGGGCCTGCCTGAAACCAGGGATCGCCCAGCCCTGGATGCGCCTCGATCCCCAACATGCAGGTGTGTGCAGGGTCTAACCTGCCAATCGGGCTCAGTAATTAGCGATCATTAATAATGAAATAGAGCAATTGTAGCAATACGCTGTGATCAGAGTTAGCCCAAGCTTACCAGTCTTTCTTTGTTCCAGAGGTTTTCCATTTAGGGTTCAGATGGCAGTTGACCGCGGGAAGCGGTGCTGTGGGAAGCGCGCGGGTGGGGGTGGGCGTGGTAAATCTCTCTTCAAGTGTCTGGTCCAGGCAATCTGCCAGACACTTTTGTTTTCTCTGCTTTTCCTCCGAGAGTCGGGCTGCTTTGGCAAAGGAGAGTGGTATTACCTTACCACGTGGAGCACAGTTAATGGCTTTAAAGAATTCCCCAGCAAGTCAGTAATGAGCTGCCAAAAATACTCGTGGTGCCAAAGGATCTGGATACGTCTGTTCCATTTACTGCCTGTCTCTCATTTCATCGTGAGGCGGCGCTGACCAAGGACATAAAAGTCTACAGCTCTGGGGTACTGTGGGTTTAAGGGCTGGAGGCAGGTTTTAATATGCCCCCAGCACCCGAGAAAGCTAGGAAGGTGTGCACAGAAAGAAGGCTGTCGCTGTGCAAGAGGCTCGGGTGCCCACGGGGGTCGCTCTCCCATCTTGCACCAAGACCGTGTCCTTCCTGTCTGAACAATTCCCATTTCTCCACCACAGGAACAAAGCTCCATGTTCAAAACATCAAATAGCAAATATATAACAGTATAGCAGGATCATTTATTTTTGAATTTCATATTGATAATAAATTGAATCTGCTAAGAAAAGAGTCTTCTTAAAATTTAAATGGAATTGGGGAATATGAGAAGAAGATCCGGGAAAGCAATGGAAATAACAGAGCAGTTTAAAAGGTGCCTGTTTCCCTCCAGAAGCTAAAGGGTCTAAAGACGTGGCATCTAGACTTCCTCCCTCATCCCATCCCTCCCCACAGCCTCCCTGGGCTTCGCCTGGCCTGAGGTCAGCATCTGTTTCTGCCCTGATGGGAGACTCTCCTCTCCTGCTCCTTACTTTGGAGCAGAGAGAGTCCAGTGGCCTTGAATACAACGGCGCTTTTGCCTGACAAGTTATCTGTCTTGATGGCTAGGATTTTAGGAGCAAGAATCCCTGAAATAGGGACTTTTGATGGCTTAGCATAAAGCTCACAAGACACAAGATGTTCACAGGGGACCTGCTTCTCTGGGCCAGAGACCAAAAAAAATTCCTGGGCTGGTGAGTTCAAAGTCTGTGTCTTTAATTCCTACTCAGAAAAACATATTGGAATTCAGCTGGAAGAATGACATCATCCAAGAAAATAAGCCAACTTTGCTTTAAATTTGGTGTGTGTGTGTAATGCATATATGAAATTGTGTCCTTTATTATAAAGGTCATTTGAAACACTCCATCGGGACCAACTCATAGGGACCCAAACCCTGGGGTAAAACTGCAGCTCGCTGTGACTGCTTCTCTCTCTCCTGGGGCTACTTCAGTCTGCCTGGGGCCACCCCCTCCTGTATAAGCTCCTGCTTTCCCAGGAGCCCAGGTAATGTCTGAGGGTGTCTGCGTGGCTACCAGAAGGTGGAGCACTTGAGGTAGAGTTAAGAAAGGCTCGCAAACACTTGCCCAGTGTTTTTGATTTCAGAAAAGAAGCCGGGTCACTTCTTAGCTACCTTTGAAGACTCAAGCCAGAATCTTCCACTGCCTGCTAGCAGAATGATCGTCCACAGAAAGGCAGTGATGATTTGCTCTGATTATCAATTAACGCACAACTTATGAATTTAGGGTAACATGAACAATCTGTTAGAATAATAGTTGCTGAAATCAAAATAGTTTTGCCACTGGCTAGGCCTCAGGAAAATGTAAAGCCCTCGAATTAGCCCAAACCCTTAACATATGTACATGAAACATTTTTATTAAAATGTTATTTGATAAAAATTAGTGTTTCTCTGTCTGTCAACTACTTGGAAAATTATTAGGTGCCTATCACTTATGGAGGAATGGAAAAATTGTGGCAGTTGTTTATACCCAGGTGTTCTTTGCTTTTGTGATTTGGATTTATTACTCCTCATATGATCTGGATAGCATTTTTACATTTTTAACCATTAAAAAACAGCTCAAAATTTAAAGAGTGAAAATGCGGTCCCCTGGTGCAGCCCTGGTAAGAGGAAGGTGTGGTGCGTGGGTTGGACTTGAGGGTGTCACCTGGAGGGGAATATGCACCACGGATTGCAGGCCAAGGGTTGGAGTGCTTGGTGCACAGTGCACTGGGGTTTTCACAAGAGAGGCTTACTCACCCGACCTGAAATGGGCATCCTTGGGTGTTTGGAGGATGACTGTGTTTGATCTTCTCTCCTTTGTCCATTTCTGTGTCTTCTCCATTTGTGGAACCTAGAAAACCTGATCTCTTGGAAGAAGAAGCAACTGGGAGGGTGGAAGGGAGGGTGGGATGGGGAGAGAGCTGTCAAGGGCACAGAATCATAGTTTGATAGAAGAAATAAATTCTAATGTCATATTGCACAGTGGGCTGATTCTAATTAACATTAACTTACGGTAAATTTCAAAATAGCCGAAAGAGAGGACTTTGAAAGTTCTCACCGCAAAAAAAGTAATAAATATTTCCGTGATGAATATGCTAATTACCCTGATTTGATCTTCACATGATGCATATATATATGGGGATACATCACACTGTTGCCTATAATATGTACAATATTGTCAATCAAACACTAAATAAATTGAGGGAAACAAAAATATACAAAGGCCATCAGCAGAGTTGGGTTGTAGAGTGAAACCAGGTCATTCCATGCAGATGCCAAAGCAAGCGCCCAGCAAGAGCGTGCCACAGCAGGACAGAGCCAGTGAAGAGGGCACTGACCTTGTTTCTTCTGTTGCAGGCTCAACGTGGGAAAAGACGTTTCGGCAGATCGGCTTTGAAAGGTAAGCCGGGTCAGCACGTCTCCACCTCCTGCTACTTGTCTTGTCCTGTTTTATTCCAAGAGGTCTTTTGAATATAAATCAGTTGTGTTGCCGCCACTGTTTGGCACAACATCGCCTTGCCTCTGGGAGCCTCAGTGCCTTTGCACAGTCAGAGCTTTGCTCTATAAACCATCCCAGCATGCAGAGTGGAAATCAAGGTTAACTGGAGTGGCTGACAGCAAGCCTTGCTCTTCTCCCAGTTATTAAAGCAGTTCCTGTCACCTCCAAGTTCAATGCTGAGTCACACCTTGTGCAGCTACAAGTGTTCCTACGCCAGAGTCCCCAAAAGAAAGAATATGGAGTCATTATAACATCAAAGATGTGGAGGTGGGGCCGGGACAGGTCCCAAACCCCCTCCCGGGGGTCGAGTGGCAGGTGGCAGGCAGCACTTCCCTTTGGGATTTAGGGTCTTACACTGAGCTTTCAATGGAGATGCAGCTATTAAAAGAGAGAAAAGTAGTTATAATTTTATTTTACTCTAAAAGTATATATTCACTAGTTGCTTTCACTGTATTGAAAATGTTCTTTTCTGGGGATGTTCAAGTTCACAGAGTGGTCAAAATAAAATACTAAAAACTGCGTCGTCTCTGCGGGGGCAACAGAATAGTCACCTCTGACAGCAGTCCTTTGCCCCTGAGTAAGTGATTCCAGGATTTACTCATGTCCCTACATGCTCCGTCTCTCACCGGCACCATCACGACCTGGTCTCCCTCCAGCTCTTGTCACTAGTTCAGGGTGTCAACAGAGGTTGACTCTGCATGACCAGATCCCAGGGGGTTGTGCCGGGCACAGTGGCACACACCTGCAATCCCAGTGACCTGGGAGGCTGAGGCAACTGAAAGAGTCTCTTGTCTCAAAAAATAAGAAAGGGCTGGGGATGTGGTGCAGTGGCTGAATGCCCTTGGATTTGATTTCTGGTACCGAAAAAAAAAAATTGATGAGGGGAAAACAGGTCCGGCTTCATTCCAGTGTGAAATCTCTCTCTCTCGATTCTTCGTCATGTGATGAGGAATTTCAAACACACACAGAAGTAGAGAGAGACAGTGGAGGTCGTATATCCACACCTAGCGTCGACGGGGCTCGGCCAAACTCACTGTTTCTATTTTCTGATTTGGGCTGAAATATGTTAAGCAAAACCTCTAACCTCACGCCATCCTTTCCTCTGTAGGTGAGAACAACAGGCATTTTCTCCCTGAGCCCTAACCCACTGTCATCCGCAGTAGTACAACCAGCCCTAGTACAACTTCAGCCCAGTCCCTTAAGACCTGGCCACAGCACTGAAGCAGCCCAGTGGCAGAAGCTTGCCCTGCAGACCCGAGGCCAGCTCATCCCCAGCACTGGAAACAGGCGAAAAAGACCCAGTTGATATTTACACTTCCCAATCATGTTGAAAATGTCCTTTTTCTTGGTTTGAATCTGCATGCCACCAGAAGCCACATGTCCCTCCTCATTATGACCTCTTTTAAGCCTCCTTATTTGATCAGTGGTCCCCTACCCCCCACAATCCCTTTATCTTGTTTTTCTTTAAGTCATAAGCTTGGAGGAGCCTGGCCCATTGACTTGTAGAATCTCTCGGTGCCAGGACTCGACCTCTGTGCTGCCCTTTGGGGGGGTGTTCTAACCTCTCTGTTGTGGGACTTTCGAGGGTTCCACTTGCAGCCTGGGAAGGGACTCGTGACTTCCTGTTCTTTGGCACAGACCCTCTGGTCCTCCGGGTCCTCAAGGTCCCGGGTCCTGGCACAGCTGGCTCTTCCCATCTCCTCCACCCTCTGCTGTGGACCTGTAGTAGGGGTCCCTCCTGGAGCCCGGCTTCCCCTGCTGGGGAGTGGCATTTTGAAACCACTCTCTAGACACCAGGGATGGTCGTCACGACTGGGTGCCATCCTTTCTGGGCCTTGTCGACAGATGGAGCTAGGAAATATATTTTTTAAGAAGAATAAATCCTGAGCTCATACAGTGTTCCCAATTCAAACGTGGCCTCGCAAATTTTCAACTTCTCTGAAGCTACATTTTTCACTCTTTTCCACTGAAAAATCTTCACTCTTAATAAAATTCCCTCATTTCATTTTATATATTTTCAAAATAATACTAATGTCCCCACTAATGCCAAGGTGGCTGGAGGAAGTTTTGAAAGCTGGCCGCTGGCCCGATGGGCGTCCTGTTCAGAATGTGCCATCAGAAGGCGGAGAACCACAGTAGATTGAAATTGTTTTCTTCTCTTTGTGTGATCGTATCTGAAATTTTATATGTAATTCCGTTTAGTTTCAACAGACTGTTCCTCGTGGTTAGTGTTATTTTGAATATGTGACGTTGACATGGCTCCAGGCCATAGTATGTCACGAAGTCTGTTAGGGAACATCAGCACCATCTCCCCCTGGGCTCTGGCCTCCCTTCCCTGGTGGTATCAGCTTTTGATGTGACTTCACAAGTGGGAGCTCACAGCAGGTGCAGGGCAGCCTCCCGCTGCTCCAGTGTGAGGAAGGTGCATCACAGGCAGTCCCCTCCTTGTGACTTGCACTAGTGGTGAGTCCCACCTCAGGGTATGCGGACGGTCTGCCTTCTCTAGCCTGCAGGTGGCCGTGCTCTGTGAGCGCATGCAGCGGGGAGAGTGGTCCAGCCACCCTCCTGCAAATCCGGGATCTGATTCAGCACCCGCTTTGCTAATAGTCTCAGGGACACAAGCCGTGTGGGTACAGGTGATGCAGAGAGACCCAGGAGACCCCAGGTCTTTCTTCACACCAGTCCCGACTCTGCGATAGATGAGGCTTCTCACACATTTCTTTCCCCCTCTGGTTTCAGGGAGCATTTGACTTTGCAACATCCCTTTTTATACCCAAGAAATTTAAACAGCTCATGTGACATCTCTTCATAAGTCAATGGATTGCAGGTTTGTGTACTGTGAGAGCCTGCACCAGGAATGGCTTGCTTGAAGCATTCCACTGACGAGGGCTGTCTCCTAAGGAAACAGCACTGATGTACTTGACCAGTGATCTAGTTGATATAGTTCCTTTGGATTTTGTTACATTTAAGTATATAACATTTTGAGACAGGCCTTGCTAAGTTGCTGAGGCTGGCCTCAAACCTGCAGTCCTCCTGTCTGAGCCTTCCCAGTAGCTGGGATCACAGGCCTGTGCCACTGTGCCTGTGACTCCCAGCAGCAGTGCCCAGGAGTGGCAGAGCACGCTGTGGACTCAGGAGCTTTGCCAGCCTGATGGATGACTAGTAGTGCCCCAGAGCCCTTTCGGGCTGCATTTGTCTGTGGCCATTTTTCCATCAAGAGCAGGTGGAGACTCTTGGCTTTCTCCTAAATGAAGCACTTTGAACAAGAGCTTCTTGTAAAATGGTTCAGGATCCGGATTCAGCCATTGAAACCACATTTGATTCTCAGCATATCAGTCTTATTAGCAGAGCTCCCATGTGCCAAGCACTGTGCTGAATCATTTTCATCCTTACAATAACCCACCGGCGAGGAGTCGCCAAAGTTCTGCCATAGGGAACAGAGGATGGCTTTCCAACCCTGCAGGCCACTTGAGTCTTTACAACCTACCAACGTTGTGTTGGTGCAGAAAGCAGCCATGGAGAGTAGGTGTGGCTATATTCCAAGAAAACTAGATGAACACAAATGGGCAACCGCAGGGCTTGGGTGCTGGCCATCATCTGTTGATGCTCACCATGGACTGTGGTCTCACAGGCACAAAGATTCGGAAGAACAAGTAGGGCTTCCTACATGGGCACCGTCCCTCGTGTTGACCTGTGTGCACATCCTGGTTACAAAGGCTAAGCTTTCTACACACTCCACATAGAGTTCTTGAACTGAGGTCTTTTTTTGGTTTTGTGTTTTAACTTTTCCTGTAGCTCTGGGGACACAGTCTCAAGTCACCAGTTACTGACTCTTCTCATTTTAGGACTACTTTGCACAAAGCCAGAGAGTACAATCTCCATCTTGGAGTGCTTCCCTAAAATGTGAATGCTCCCCAATAGCTGCGTAAATTAAATTGCTACAGGGCACAGTCCAGGAGTCTGTTGTTGAACCGTGGTCTCTGTCATCTTGTGCAGTGCTCACACGACAGCTCCATTGAGGGTACTCGGTGTCATCCTGAGTGTTAAATGTGGTCATACTACGTCCTCCTGTGTTTTGTCATTTAAGAGCAGACAGAGTTCTCTGCTTTGCATCAAGTGTCTCAAAATACAGAGCAGACACTGGTCTTTGGGGGTTTGTCCATTTGCAGCTGCAAAGCGTGTGCCAGCCGGGCTGTTAGCTGGGGCTCTGCTCTTCACTGCTCCAGTCAGCTGGTCTTGGTCTTAGAGAACATTCCAATTCTACCTTTAAAGAGCACCTGGTTCTTCAGAGCAGACATAAGAGGTATTGATCCTTCCTCCCTGTGTCCTTTGAAGTCTTCTCCCCTGCCTGCTTGTCACAGCTGATCTGAGTGAGGACATGGAGAGGGAAAGATGTGACTGAGTTGGCTAGAGTTTCTCCAGGAGCAGGAACATGGGCGTCCTGGGTGGAGCACAGGGTGCCATCCGCCTGCCCACCTCTTGCATAGCCCTGCAGGGGAGGTGCTGGACCATCCTGGGAGCTGTGTGCAGCCATTTCCTCTCTGGAAACCCACTGCCACCTGTGGCAGCACCCCCATCAGTGGTCACCTCCACTCTGCACACAGTGGCTTCTCCCATTGTGGGGCGCCGGGACTCTGCATTAGGACTTCACTGCGGAAGCGCATTGTGCCCTGGAAGTGTCAGGACCTAGGTCTGCGTTCTGTCCAGCAGGTCCCCCACCCCGGCCCTGCAGCACCCTCAGCCACAGGGCAGGAGCGCTTGGTTTCAGTTGGAGGCCTACGCAGTGCCTAGCATATCGGGGCCTCTTTCAGAAAGCTCCCTTCCCCATGCAGACTTCCTGAGCTTGGGATGGTGCACATTTCCAGATCACTGTCATCTCGGCCAGTGCTGAGGTGGGCCCT